CCAGTGCATAAATTTGTGCAAGGATGAGGTCCAGCTGGCCCATACTAATTAGGGTCAATTGGGGCCAGCCAGTCGAGGGGAGGGGCTTCAGGAGGTTGGCCAGCTTGCCCGATCCCCAATCAGGGTGTGGGTGGCCGATCGGGGGCTAGGCCAGCTGGGAGGAGGGGCCATGGGAGGTTGGTTGGCCGGCCTTGCCCCCATCGGGCCAGTTGGCCAGCAACAGTGTGGGTCATAGTGACTGGTCATTCTGGTCATTCCAGTTGCTTGGCTTTTATATGTATTGATAGTCCCCATGTCTAAATACAGACACATTGGGGTTAGGGCTTCAACATATTAATTGGCAGGAGAGGACACAGCTCAGTTCCCAGAACATATGTAGCAGATTTAATAGTCTCTTGTGACACTGATGCCGACACGAAGCCATCATACAGCCTTAGACTACCTGTCCAAAAATTTCCTTCATATGAAGCCAACGGTTCTTAACCTGTAGGTCGCAACCCCTTTGGTGGTCGAACGGCCCTTTCACAGGGGTCACCTAAGACCATCCTGCATATCAGATATTTACATTGTGATTCATAACAGTAGCAACATTACAGTTATGAAGTAGCAACAGAAATGATTTTATGGTTGGGTCACAACATGAGGAACTGCATTTAAAGGGCCAGAAGGTTGAGAACCACTGTATGAAGCCAACAAAAAAATCCACTATCTTCTATGAGTCATATATTTCAAATGTTTATTATGTTGAATCAAACTGAATTCCAAATGATATATTTATCTATTTACTCAACAAAAATTTTTTGAGAATACACTATGTACTTGGGATAACAAGACAAATCGGATTCCTTGCCTTTGATGAGATAAAAAAAATTAATGAAGCAGACAAACATATAATTCGAAATTTTAGTCTTATGAAAATGTCAATAAAGAAGGCAAAGCAAAGTATTCAAAAAAAGCTTAGTTTGGAAGGGTGGGCAAAAACTTCTCAGAAATAAGATTTGAGCCAGTCCTTGAAGAATGTGTGGAATTTCAGCAGTTTAGAATATTCTAAACATAGAAAAGTAGTAAGAGCCAAAGAATGGTAGCATGAAAGAGCATGGAGCAGTTATTGGACATTGGGCAGTTTACTATGATTAAAGAAAGGGAAAGTAGGAGAAAAAGCTGGAAAAGAAATCGGTGCAAATGCCCTATATACAATACTTAGGTATTTTGAATTAACATCATGGTAATGGGACACACTAAAGGATTTTAAAAGAGTGATATACTAGTAATTAGATTAACATTTTTAAGAAGATTACTGTGGAGATGGACTGGAAGAAGGCAGACTGAGTAAATGACCATTACAATAATACTAATAAAAGATATTGAGGGTATAAGTAAGGCTAAGGAATAACATGTTAACTCCCATCCACTTTAGTTTCAATCCAGCTTGTAAAATGAATTGCTAACTATCTGCAGATTAGCCTACATGGACCAACAAACTCTAACCCAGCGCTAGAGCAAAACTTCTTAATCCATGAAATAGTATTCCTTGAAAAAGTGATCTTGCCTCCTGTCATTAGGCATATGTAAAAGACATTGGATGAAGTTTGGCGGCAAGCCTTCTGACCATCACTGTGACAAGGGCAGGTCTTCTGCTTCATACTTTCAAATCCTTGGGTTTTCTTATACTGACATCTCCCTACTTGGATAAGAGACACCACAGAAGGTTGCTTTGTACCCTGGCCTGCTAACTTGGATCTACTCTCCTGCCTCCTGTCTGCTTATCATGCTCCCTTATTTTCAAATGAATCTCCATAAATTTGATACCACTTGAAATACTGTTATTGCCATCTGGTTGTCAAATTGCTAAAGCTATGCATGAATTATCCTGTGTTCCCAGAACAAAATTATCCTGGGAACACAGGATAATTAGATATGGACACCTGTTTGATTCTAAACTGTGAAGAATGTATTATTATGGTTGGCACCTATCTGGGAGTGCTGTTTCTACTCCTATTTTCCCCTCACCATCTTTCATGCTCACATGCCCTCCTCTAACGTTGGGTAGAAGTGTACAAAATCTCTTTGGGGAAAATGAAGCTGATAAATTGGGGCATACCAGCTGCAAAAGGAAAATGAGCTAGTGACCAGTCAGTTAGAAAGTCAAAATTGCAGGAAAAGCACTAAAAGATTAGCTTTTCTTTGACACCAGCAGTGAAGATACTTTTTATGATATTTCTTTAAAAATCACAAAGAGCCGAGTACAAATATAATGCATTTATAGTTCTTTGCCTTTCCTCATCTACTGATTAAGCAAGCAAGATTTTTATTAAATTTAAAACTTGTTAATCATTTTTGGATTACAAATTTATTTTATTTGAACATCTTTGAAATTTCTACATTCATTACACACACACACACACACACACACACACACACACACACACCCCTCATGTGATTTTATTCAAAATCGGACTATATAAGAAATAAAAGTGGAAAAGTCCAAAGAAAATGTGTTTTCTTTCCAAGAAGTCCACTGTGCTTTTATTTCAAATACTGATTTTTTTCTGGAAATGTCCTATTGTTTAAATTTTCTACACACTAAGCTAAGTTCTCAGCTGGAATACTCAAAATCAGGACATGTTTTTGCACATATTTTTAAGGTTCATTCACATTTTGATTGAAAGTAGCAATAAATCACTTAATGTGAATCATTCCATAAGTTCATATTCCTCTATAAACCTTCCCTTTGAACATAAAGAATACAGATATACTTTTGCATTAATTACTTTTTCTGTTCCAGTCCTTTTTTCTGTTTCAAGATCCAGTGTGTGTTTATTTGCATTGTTGATTTATTTATTTTTATTTTAAAAATATATTTCTTTATTGATTTCAGAGAGAAAGGGAGAGGAGAAATAGATACATCAATGATGAGAGAGAATCATTGATCAGCTGCCTCCTGTATAACCCTTACTGAGGATCGAGCCCACAACCCGGGCATGTGCCCTTGGCTGTAATCGAACCCAGTACCCTTCAGTCTGCAGGCCGATGCTCTATCCACTGAGCCAAACCAACTAGCTGATTTATTTTTTTATTTACCCATTCAACAAACATATATTAGACATCGATGTGGCAGATCCTATGCTTGGAAATGTGGAGACATAAAGATTAATAATTCTCTACAGTTAAATGGCTGTCAGTCTTGCAGAAGAGCTAATAATATCATGCATTTTATAGGGGTTTGGAGTTTACAAAGCATTTTCAAATGCATTGCAACATTCAGATATCTTCATAACAACCTGATGACTAGGCAAGGTAAGTGTTCTTAGCCCTGAGTTACAGATGGTGAACTATACCATCTGTCATAAAGACTTACTTCACACTTGATGACCAGAAAAGTGGGTTACAACCCAAATGCAATGAAAATCATCTCAGAAGCTTATAAATGACACATGCCTGCCCACCCTGCTCCAGAGATGATTTTACTGACTGAGGTGGGGTCTGGGCATGGGCAATATTTTTAAGTTCATGAGATGTTTCTACTGTGCAGCCAAGGTAGAAAACCATTGCTTTACTATTACTGAACTCCTTGTGGTTCTCCTTGGACACCATACTATTTCTCTTCTCTGAGTCTTTGCTCTTTGTCTCTGTACTTTACACTTTATCTTGAAGCCCCCCTCACACACAGCTTTAAACTTCATTTTATTAATCTTCTATCTATTTATTTACTTTGTTAATCCTCACTCCAGGGTATTTTCATTGATTTTTTTTTTTACAGTGAGTGGGAGGGAGAGAGACAGGGTGGGACAAAGAGAGACATCGATGTGAGAGAGACACATTGATTGGTTGCCTCCTGCATGCCCCTTGACTGGGCCAGGGATGGAACCTGCAACCCAGGTATGAGCCTTGACTGGAGTCAAACCCACAACCCTTTGGTGCACAGGCCAATGCTCTAACCACTTAGAATCACCATCCAGGGCACTTTATTCATCTTTTAAGCCCTAGTTTCTAGCACAGGACCTCATGAACAATAGAAACTGAGTGTTTCTTGAACTAACTTCAACTTGACCACAAAATACGTTAGTTTGTGTTATTGCTTCTCTCTCATCGTGGTCCCCTCATTAAGGGATTGCATCTATTATCTGATTGGGTTAGTTCATTTTTGTCCCTTTCTTCCTAAGGACCTGGGTTAAGTTTCCTGGTAAAGGCAGATGGACAAATTTAGTGGTACTGTGATGTTCTATATTCAAAATTATCCCTCCTCTCTAATTACTATCTTTTCATACCCCAACTGTCCCCATGCTACATTTTGCAGAAAAGTCAGGGTTATGGCCTTGACTTCCAGCTGCCCAGTTAATCCAACCAAGTTGCTCTCAGAAACCTCACCAGATGTTCATTGAAGCATGATTTGTCCACTGGCCCTTACAGATATACCCATCTGGGTCAAAAGTCAAGATGCTCCTAGTTTAGGCCATAACTCTGGAATCTACAGCATCCACCTAATACTTAGGACATTTATGTCTGAAAAATAGATCATTACAATATATTTTTCTAATAGGATCTGTGTTGTTTCTAAGAAATACAAAGCAAATTAAACTATCAGTTTCTTTAAAATAATTTATAAAAGTTAATGCCATGGTAAAAGTAAAATATAAATGCTTTATACTAGTTTCTGGGCTTAAAAGTGACTTGCTTACCTGGTTGTAAATGTCAATTTTTATAAAATTTCTAATCATTATGATGGTCAACAATTTTATCTTATTGTTTTTTTACAAAGTTGACAAATACTATATCTATAGTAGTACCTCTCTCCCTGCCTCTCTCTCTCTCCACATGAAACCAATACACCTAAAACCAATTGTACAGCTTAGTGGTTAGACAATTACATACTTTACATAGTGTTCCCCTTGATATTTCCAGTTCCCAATTGGCAAGATGCATAGTTATCACAATATTATTGATTATATTCCCTATGCTTTACTTACTTCCTCGTGGTTATTTTGTAAATGGTTCTTTACAGGACATTTGTGGAGATTTCTAACTGCACAGTCTCTGAATAGGAGGATCGTTCCAGCTTGATATTTTTCAGTCTTCTTCCCATAGCGATCTGACTTGTGTGTTTCTCTTTCCTGGAATAGCATTGAATTGCAGGTATTGCATTCATCTTGCTGTGGCAAACAGTGGGAGTGAGGCACACTCCTTCTTCACAGCTGTCCTCTCCATCAGCCATTCCCCCATCTCTCCAGTCTGTATCTCTCCATTTCCTGTCCTCTGCTCAATTTGACACAGAAGATATTCAGCAAGTCCTCTGGGCATATATCTCACCAGATAATGAGATGCCAGACTCCCATTACAGCTGACTCCCCCAGTCTCTAGCAGTGTTTCTTTTGGATCTCTTGACTTGGGGACCACAGGAAGCACTAGTCTACCTCCTCCATGGAGAGGAAGGAAAAGTTCCAACTCTATCTTAGACCTCTAAAATTTCTTCAGTCTGCTCACATAGACTGATGGGCAGGGTCCATTGATGTTTGGTGTAAAAGAGCCAGTTTGGCCACCTATTAATAAGACATGAAGAGATCTGCCTGCCCCCATTAGGATTCATTACTTTATTTGAACATTAGGCAGGTAAAACTGTTGCTTTCTTCTTGTTCACCTAATTACTCCATTGAGTGCAACTTCTAGTCTTATACTTTGCTTCTGAGCATACAAATGCTCTCCTGTTAATTAGGTCACCAAGAACCCTACCTTCTGCCATTCAAAACTTTCAAAACACCTTGTTTTTCCTAGAATAAATAATTAATTAATACAAAAATGATTAGCACTAAAGAATTTCCTGCTGGAAAGAATCACTATAAACTCAGTCAAATTCTTTTCATTGATTGGTAAAAAAAACAAACAAACAAAAAATAGTAGATTTCAAAAGGTAAAATGGTTTATCCACAGAATTGAACTAATTAGTAACAAAGATAAAACCAGAATTTTATTCTCCTGTCTTCTGAGAGAGAAAATTCCCCAATACACCATGATATTTCTCATGTCCAAATCAATCTGACTCAACAACAAAATTCACAATTCTGAAAACGTTCTGATAATTATACTTATTGGATGATATAGCCACTGAATACCATGACTTTTTCTTTTTATTATGTATGTATGTATGTATGTTTGTATGTATGTATGCAAAAGAAGACTATATCACCTTTCAACCTAAGCAGTGTTTTTATTTTAATAAAGGAACTGTGGGCCACGAGGCTGCAGTGGGCACAGGGGCAGGTCTCGGCCCATCCTCTGCACCTCTGCCTGGTCCCTCCTGATGCCTCCCCACGTCCTCTGACTGCTGTCAGCCCCGCTCCCACTGCCGCCAATAGTGCGGAGCGATTGGGACTGGTGCCAGCAGCGGTTGTGACGGCTGCTGCCCTGATCACTCCTCAGAAGCAGAGGGAGGTGGAGAAGCCCTCCTCCACTTGCACCTGCTGATGGTGCCAAGTGATTGGGGCCGGTGCCAAGTGCCAGCAGCGGTGCGAGCAGCAGCTCCAGCTGCAGGAGTAAGCAGGGCAGGCGCCAGTAGTAGGTGTGAGTGCCAGGTGGGGCTGCAGCACACAGGAGCAAAGAATTTTCAATAACCACCAGAGGCTTGCCCTGATGACAATGACCAGCACCCCGCCTTGTTCTGGTGCCCCCACTGATTTTCTGCTGCTGATTTTTCTTGTTTTTGCGGTATGCCTGTTGTGCTATGAATTTCCCTCTCAGGACTGCTTTTGCTGTGTCCCAGATATTTAGGTTGTTGTCTGTTTTTCATTTGTTTCCAGAAAGTTTTTGATTTCTTTTTTTTACTGTAGTTGATTTCTAATTTCATTCCATTGTGATATGAGAAGATGCTTGATATGATTTCAATCTTCTTGAACTTGTAGAGACTTGTTTTGTGTCCTAACATGTGATCTATCTTTGTGAATAATCCATGTGCACTTGAGAAGAACATATATTCTGCGGTGTTGAGTGATATCCTATATAATAGAGAGGTAATATGAAATTGACCAGCATGCCCTCGCACAAGATGGCCGCCCCGATGTGGTCACAAGATGGCTGCCCCGATTTGGTCACAATATGGTTCCACAAGATGGCCGTCAGGGGAGGACTTTGTGTGCCATCAGGCCTGCAAGGGAGGACAGTTAGGGGCAATCAGGCCTGCAGGGGAGGACAGTTGGGGGGGTACCAGGCCAGCAGGGGAGCAGTTAGGTATCGATCAAGCTGGCAGGGGAGTTGTTAGGGGGTGATCAGGCTGGCAGGCAGAAGCAGTTAGGGGCAATTAGGCAGGCAGACAGGTGAGCAGTTGGGAGCCAATAGTCCCTGATTGTGAGAGAAATGTCCGACTGCCGGTTTAGGCCCAATCCCTGGCCTAAACCGGCAGTCGGACATCCCCTGAGGAGTCCCAGATTGGAGAGGGTACAGGCCGGGCTGAGGTACACACACCCCCAATGCACGAATTTCATGCACCAGGCCTCTAGTGTTCTATAAATGTCAATTAAATCCATCTGATCCAGTGTGTTCTTTAGAATCTCTGTTTCCCTGTTAAGTTTTTGTCTGGAATATCTATCCAGTGAAGTCAGATAGGTATTAAAGTCCCCTACTATGACTGTATTATTGTCAATCTCTCCATTAAAGTCCTACAGAAGTTTTTTTATATATGTAGGTACTCCTATATTGGGTGCATATATGTTTACCAGGGTTATATCCTCTTCTTGGATTGATCCCTTTAGTATTATGTTGTGACCTTTGTTGTCTCTTGTGATAGCCTTCATTTTAAAGTCTATTAAAGTCTACTCCAGCTTCTTTTTCTTTTCCATTTGCATGGAAAAAATTTTTCCATCCCTTCACTCTCATTCTCTGTGTCTTTTGTTTTTCCATCCCTTCACTCTCATCCTGTGTGTGTCTATTGTTTTTAGGTGGGTCTCTTGTAGACAGCATATAGTTGGGTCATGTTTTCGTATCCATTTGGCTACCCTATGCCTTTTGATTAGAGCATTCAGTTCATTTACATTTAGGGCTATTATTGGCAGACACTTACATTTTAATTCTGTATGGCGAGGTTTCTCTCTGTGTTTCTTTTTCTCATTACAGCAGTACTTTTAGCATTTCTTGTAATGCTGGCTTTGTGGTGATGTACTCCTTTAGCCTTTTTCTTTTTGTCTGGGAAGCTCTTTATTAGACCATCCATTTTGAGTGATAACCTTGCTGGATATAGTAATCTTGGTCTCAGGCCCTTGCTTTCCATTACCTTAAGTACTTCATGCCATTCCTTTCTGGCCTGTAGAGTTTCTGATGAGAAATCAGGTGTCAGCCTTATGGGAATTCTTTTGTAGGTAACAGCTTTCTCTTGCTGCCTTTTAGATTCTCTCTTTGTCTTTAATTTTTGGCATTTTAATTATGATGTGTCTGGGCATGGGCCTATTTGCATTCTTCTTGTTTGTGGTTCTCTGTGCCTCCTGGACTTGTGTGACTTTTTCCTTTACCGGGTTAGGGAAATTTTGTCGAGTAAAACTCCCTCCACGTTCTGCGTGGAGTAGGGTTCGGTATCTGAAAGAGGAGCTGCACAACAAATGAGAGAAAAAGACATGAGATAATTTGGAAATATTGGGGGATCAGGCGGCCAGTCAAGTTTTCAGCCATTATTTCTTCAAACACATTCTCTGTTCCTTTCTTCCTTTCTACCTCTTCTGGCACACCTGCTATTCTAATATTGTTACTTTCCAGGTTGTTCCACAACTCTCTTAAGCTGTCCTCCTGTTTTTTAATTGTTTTTTCTTTCTGGTTCTCTGTTTGAGTGATATTTTCAACTTTGTCTTCTAATTCACTGATTTGATCCTCAGCTTCCCCTAATCTGCTGTGTATTCCTTCCAATGTGTTCTTTATCTGTATTATGTCATTCTTTATCTCATACTGTTGTTTTTTCATAGTTACTATATCTTTTTTCATGCTATTGAGCATCTTTATCATCATTACTCTGAACTCTGTTTCAGATACATTTCTTACCTCTACTTCATTTATCTCTTCTTCTGGAGAATTATCTAGTTCCTTTATTTGAGAGTTGTTTCTTTGTCTCCTCATGTTGCCTGACTGTTTGGGTTTGTGACTGTGTATTAGATAAATCCTCTATATCCCTCAATCTCTAGTGCAAGACAGTGTTAAAGGCTATTTCTGACTAATTAGATCAGGCAAAGACTCAAAACCTCCAGAGACTGCCTCTGCCTACAGATTGATAGGATTCCAACTTGAATTGCCCCCCAGGCAAGCATCCTCAGATGGGTAACAGTTTTTTTTTCAACAGAATCTCTTAAGTGGCCTCTGGGAAAGGTGTTTTCCAATAGGGTGTGTCAACTATCTTCCCCCCAGGCAAAGCAAATGTCTATGTAAGAAATATGTCTTCTGCTGCATGAGGGAATTACTCAGCCCAGAAAGCTTGGGGTATCTGCCTTCTGGGCTCTATCCTCCGAGTCCCCAGTTCTGGCTTCTGCTCTCACATCTCCAGTCTACTTCACCATCCCTCTGCTGCAGCACAAGGTGGATGGCTCCA